TGCACAGTCCAAAACTCTGGGTTACTTTGTCATATATTACTAGCATAGCAGATGGCAGCTAAAACTTCCATTCTTTCAAGATAATTTGGAGAAAAAGACCTAAAACAGTTACCAATCATTGCAAAGAATAATTTTGTTGTTTCTTAATCTTGCACTGCAGGACTAGGAGGTGGATTTGGCTACATTGTGGGCGGCATCAACTGGGACCAGACACAATTTGGAAGGTCGATGGGAGGTCAACTGCGGGTCATATACATGTTCACCAGTGTCACTTTGGTGTTCGCCACAGTCATGACTCTGTTGAGTATCCCCGAGCGGCCCCTACCAAAGAGCCAACCTAACAAAAACTCCGGCAAAAATCATCTAAAAAGCCCTAGCCTCGCTCTCCCTCCCTCTCCCCCTGTTCCCCCAGGATCTGCTTTGGGACTGTATGAGGAAGATATGGATGGTCTTTACAGCTACAATTTCTCTACAAACGCTCGCCCATCTAACTCTGACCCTCTGGCCCATTCTTGCAGTGCCAATGCACGTCTCTGTGCTGGTCTCACTAGCCCCATATCGCCCCTGAGCCCCCTCACACCAAAATATGGCAGCTTTATTAGTCGGGACAGCTCGCTCACTGGAATCAACGAGTTTGCCTCCTCACTGGGAACCTCCTATATAGACAGTGTGCTCATAAACTGCTACACAGGTCAGCAGACACCACAGGCCCTGGCTTCCAACTCCACCGCTGCACCCCTGCCTCCAGGAGACTCCCCTCCTCCTGATGAGTCCACACAGGGAGCAGTAAGCCATCCTGCGGGACAGGCCCAGGCTGATGCGATCTCTCATCCAGCTGGGGAAGCTCAGGATGGAGAAGCGCCACAGCCAGAGGGAGATGCGCAAACTCATGGAGCATCTCAGGTCACAGCTGGGGCTCAACCTGGTGCAGGGTCACATCGGGGCTCTTCTGCTGGTATCCTGAAGCGACCCCAGAGTCTTGCACTAATTGAGGAGCCCATGGCAACCCAGATTGTTGGGCTGGAGAATGGTCGCAGGAGAACGGTGACCTTTAGCCAGCAGGTCAGACACATAGTTTGAAAATGACAGAAGCTGTTTAGTCAGTAGCCACCACAGCAATTTAAAACTCATTGTCTGTCTTTTCTTTCTCCGATAAAGGTTGCAAACATTTTGCTGAATGGTGTGCGCTATGAGAGTGATCTGAGTGAGAATGTGGAGACAGGAGAATCCCAAATGTCAATGAAGCTGCTGTGTATAGCCATCTACAGGATGCCTCCCTCTCTGCGGAGTTTATGCACTAATCATTTTTTGGGTGAGAAAAATCACTTTTTAAACTTAGGTGAACGTTAAACCCTGTACAACATCTTAAAAACTATGTGTTTTGTGTTGTGCTCTGTTGATACTTATTGGTTCTCTCTAGGCTGGCTGTCCTTTGAAGGCATGCTGCTCTTCTACACTGACTTCATGGGAGAGGTTGTGTTTGAAGGTGACCCAAAGGCACCCCATGACTCCGAGGCTTACCAGCGCTACAATGCTGGTGTTAGCATGGGCTGCTGGGGCATGTGCATCTATGCATTCAGTGCTGCTTTCTACTCAGGTAAGCTACACTCGTTATCACAACTGCTCTGTCATTTTTACCAGGAATTTGTCTTCTTACATTTGTTCCTTCTGTTTGTCTTTGTTTCTTCTTCAACTTCCAGCCATATTGGAGAAACTGGAGGAGCGTTTCTCTCTTCGCACTCTATATTTTTTTGCCTACCTGGCGTTTGGTTTGGGCACAGGCCTGGCCACACTATCCAACAACCTCTACGTGGTACTTTCTCTCTGTGTCACCTATGGGGTGCTCTTCTCCTCTCTATGCACACTGCCTTACTCTCTGCTGTGTGAATACTACCAGAGTCCTCAGGTCAGTATCTAGATATGTGTCATACTAAGGTGTAGGATAATTTGTAGTTGCTTCATGGTATGACGTTCAAATTCCCCTTTCTTGCAACTGTACGGCAAGCCGGAGCCAGCAGCCAGTTAGCTCAACTTAGCACAAAGACTCGACATGAACTCCATCTCTAAAGCTCCTTAATTAGCATGTTATATATAATATTTTTTTTAATCAGTACAAAAGACAAAGTATAATGACTCTTGGTGGTCTTATGGAGGGTTGTGTGTCTGACTATTTCTTGAGCCTTCGAGCCACTGGTAGCCGGATTTTATTACCTTGAATAGAACCTGTTTCCAGCTAAGCTAAGCTAGCCATATAATGGCCGTAGCTTCATAAATAGCACGCAGACATGAGAGTGTCAATCTTCACATCTAACTCTCAGAATGAAAGCAATTAGTGCATTTCCCAAAATGTTGAACTATTCCTTTAACCCTGTCATTTGTTATGCACTACATTAATTGATCATATAACTAAACTTTGCACTTTTGTTCCTCAGTTTTGTGGCTCATCAGAGGAAGGGACCAGACGAGGGATGGGGGTGGACATCTCTCTGCTCAGCTGCCAGTATTTCCTGGCTCAGATCCTAGTCTCTGTGGCGATGGGACCTCTGACCTCACTGGTGGGTGGGGCCCAGGGAGTGATGTACTTTTCAAGCCTGATGTCATTCGTGGGCTGCCTGTACTCCTCTCTCTGCGTGGTGTACCAGCTGCCCCCCCCTGAGGGTGAGCCCCCCGAAAGCGAGACCCAGCCACTATTGGTGCACATTTAGGAAAAAAAAAAAAGCCTCTTAGTTTACTTTACCTCACACACACACTCAACGGCACACACGCTCTCACGCTGTCGCTTAGTGTCCGAGTGTGTTGACCTTCACCGCACTGATAGGACCAACACACTGTACACCCTGCCGCACACTGTACAGCACAATTCCATATATTGTTTCACACTAATCAGCACTGTTCTTCTCAGAGCTAGACAGACAGACAGACAGACATTGGCCACTGCTCTAATATGTGTAGACATGACCCGTGTGTTCATACAGTGTGTGTGCCCATGCATCTTTTCCTAACTTTTGCAAACGAATGTGTGACCTTTTTGAATGCAGTGTGGGGCAAATGGATGTGTGTGTGTGTGTGTGTATGAGAGAGAGAGACTGACCTCTTTTAGTATAGATGAGTCTATGCTGTTCTTGTGTCTGATTCTTTACTGTAAAATCTTGCATCATCTTTTCTTGCTTGTTGGTGTTTGGTATAGAAATGTTGATCACTACGTACAGGCTAACCACAGCTTTCCCCTCTTTTTCTTCCTTTTATCAGTTGCCTAATGTCTGCATGAGCTGCAACGTAAATCTCTCAAAGCCTTGTGTTAAAATTTTGTTTTGGTCATACGGCCAAGGGAATGTCTACCTGCCTGTTTCTCTGAGTTAGCATATTAGCATCACACCTTAGGCAGGTCTATCTGACTAAATGAATGTGCTGCCAGTGACCACTCACACTCACACGTTAATACTTCATTAATTCAAGAGCTCTTCTGGCATAATTTAGCAAACACATACTGAATATTCACATGAAACTGAACAACGCTTAATCACAATTACAGTCTTGAAGGGCTTCACATTGTTCACATTTTAACAGCAAATAAAACAACACTTTCCACACAGTCCAGTCATTATGAGTGCTATCCCCCAAATTTCACACTTTGGTGCTGGGTGACTCTTAATCAAGTCCCAAGTATCAGTACAATGCCAATTAAACTCATCATAGAGCCATGACTAATAGGATGACACACACTGGTACACAAATGTTCAAAAAACACAGAGAAATGTGTGCTGGTGGCAAATTCTGTCTGGGCCCTCACTAAGCCATGGATGGCCGTGAGCTGTCACCCTTCTCCTGGCCATGCCATTGTAATAATGACAGTGATTCTTGTCATTATCAGGAAGAGGAGAAGTTGAAACTGGGGTGTGAATCAACAGTCAGTCGGAAACCGAACAAAACAGAAGAACAGCAAACAGGGAGAAGACTCATGTGAACTGTGGGTAACCCTGCAGGTGGACAACATTGAAAGAAAAGACTGTGGGGGTTCTTAGAGCCAGCAGCAAGTGCTTATTGTCATCTCTAGGGCGCATGCTTTAGGTAGAAGGCTTCTGCTCCACCACGCTCAGCCCATCAACTCAGTATAGTGATGACCTTACATTTGTTAACAGAGTTCCTCACAGGAAGTATTAAACGTCTTTCCCCTTTTTTCATCCTAAAGAAGCCATCTTCTTCAGAAAAATGGTACATGTAATTTATTTTTTACATCTGTTGTGCCATGGAAAACAGTATGCTTTGTCTGTTCAGCCTCAACACACGCACCAAACATGATGTCAGGGCTTTCCCCAAGAGGTTAACTTTAGAATATGACCTGTTTTAAGCCTACCATTGTGATGGTTTCATTGACTGGCTCACACACTGAACACCCCAACATTATGGTGCCAGTCATAATTGCTGCCTCAGCAGAATGTCAATAATTGCCTACTATTAAAGCCTCCTGGACTGACTGGATGCACGCCATGCTAATGTTTCTAAGGAAACAGTAACTGTATGGATCATGCTGTTGCAGCTTGCTTGAGAAAAATAACACTGAGTTTTTGTGTTCTATGGTACCACCTATTGCTCAATATTAGCAGTGTTACTGTAAAAGCTACTTTTATTCAGGGTTCATTTAAAACTAAAATGATCATTTTGCCATTTTGGACTCCTGTGTGAATTATTGTTATACTTTTGTCACTGATTATAATGCCCAAACCAGTTGTCGCCCTAGTTGACTTGAGATAGTGATCTGCAATCTTTAAGTACACCACACGGGGGAGCCAGAAGACCCAAAACCACAATTCATTGATTCTGTGCACCCTTTTCCATTACCAAGTGAGTGAGCTTATTCCTGTTCCTTCCTGCATCTAAGCCAGCCATTTTCCATGTTAAGAAAAAAAATGGGTCAAGTGACATCATCTACTTAAAAAGCCATGGTTTTAAGAAGCAGTGATGATATTTAAACATGTAACATACACACAAAGTCGAACTACTTAAGTAAAAAGACAATTTATTTGTTAATCAGAATATACAAAGCAGTGGCTGAAGTAACCGAATGTCATTCTGGTTCTGAAAAAGGCAGTCTTGGACACAAAACTGGGCCACCCAGCCATTAACATAAAACTCATTGAAAATGTAAGAAAAACAAAGTATAAATGGTACAAACTTGCGTGGAATGCATACAGAACAAATGACCAAAGCTTTAAGATTTAAGAGGGGTTAATTAACATCGCAAAATCCTGCCTCCAAACACAAGATCAAGTAATCTCATCATGGAGGCACAAGACAGAGCACCTTTATTCATTTGCACCATCTGTTATGTTAACAGGGCAGCCAAGCCAAGGATTAAATAGCAGCTCAACACAAAAAAAAATCATGCCTCAACTAATAATGCTAACAACTGTCCATTAGCCCCTGCTTAAAACTTATCTTTGGTCCTTTAAGTGAATCTGAGAGGTCAACATGAGCCTGGGAGGAGGTGAGCAGCTGCCTATATGAATGAATCATCTGGTCAGCACTGACATCAGAGATTGTGCTTCTAACATACTGATATAAAACCTCAAGAAATTTAAAAAAAAAAAAAAAGATCTCATGGTGTGGCCCTATTTGTACAAGTAATAAAAAAAAAAGCTCATTTTGAAGACCAATAAATAACATTTCATAAAAAAAAGAATGCAGGGCCACTATGTTTCAGGACTCCAGTGCAATGTGATAACATGGGAGCAAACAAAAAGAAATATTTCTCAAAAGGTACAGAAAGCACAAGCTCTACAACACAATGTTGACCAGGCTGGTAAGACAGTGCTGCAAACAAGTAGCAGGGCAGAGACTTAAGCCTCCACTTCTGCCTCTTTTGAATCTCCATTTTCCTCTGTCTTCTGCTTTTTTGTCTCCACTTTCTCCTAAAAAAAAATGAAAAACAAACACATTTAATGCATTAGCAAAGATCACCAGATTAGACGACACTTAAAAATTGTTTATGGTTGTATGGTTTCAGACTGGTGACAACCCACCTCTTCCTCTTCAGCTGCACGCTTCACAGGCTGTGCTTCAGTCTCCTCAGCAGGGGGCGCCTCCTCTTCTTTCCCTGTAAGGACAGTTTGTCACTTCAGAAAATACATCCTTTACTTTTGGGTGTAAAACAGGACAAGATTCATGGGAAAAAATGTGTCCCGTCTTAAACTCAAGGACACACACACACACACATAACAGCATTTTTGAGGTAACTCATAAGCAATGAGATAAGAATAAGAAATGTAGAGACTCTTTTTTCTGAAAACAGTAATAGTGCTTTATATGAACATACCATCTCCATTTTTCTCGTGTTTCTCCTCTGTGGGTTTTTCCACTTTGTCGCTGTGATCAGCACCATTCTGAATGAAGAGAGGGAAAATGTCAATCCATAACACATCATGTGTCACCATAAGGCCTTTTTTTAACATGTGAGTTATGGACAACATTAGAAAGAGAACGCAAAAAATACACAAATAGATCAAAACATTGAATCCCAAGCATATTTGAAATAATCCTCCCAGTCTTACATGAACACACTCCTCTGGGAACACTTAAAAAGGGCATGTGTGTGAAGCTCTTATCACTCCCCAGAGGATTAGGACTTGAGACACCAATGAAAAAAAAACAAAAAAAAACCGTCTACGGACTTGCTAACTAACATCTGTGCCATTTCACAACCCAAACAAAGCCACTGTGTGGAGAGCAGCTGAACAGGAGGAAGGGGGGAGAGAGAGGCGGGTGTGCAGCGACACCTGCATGATGAGGGGTGCAAAGACAAAAGGCCATGAGGCTGGTCCTCGTCTCAAAACTCACTGTGCCATTGGCAGGTGCGTCCCCGTTGTCGGTCTTCTTCTTCTCCTCCTCCACCACCACTTCTACTTCTTTCTTCTCTTTCAGCTCCTACAAAATAAAAGCACGTCCCTTAAAAGAAGAGTTTATTCTGAAGTGTCACACGCTGCTCGCCGCGGTCTGGTTTTAATTAGAAGAAAGCTCGTTTGTCGTATCTGATTTAACTCTAAATGAAGGAAGAGTGTGTTATAAATTTACGGTGGTACTAGCAAAGGTTTTTATTTTATTTCTTTTTTTTTTATCCCTAACCGGTAATGTAACGTTAACGTTACTGTGGCTTCCCGCCCACAGCAGCAGCGCCGCTTCAACCAGCTGTACCGTTTCTACCGCTTTGTCTGCTCAACAGGACATTTTTTAGCAAACCACATCACATACGTTGGAGTTTCCAGACACATTATTTAGCTGTCGACGCTGAAAAAAATTACAAATAAGTCCCCTTCTGTAGAGTATGACTGTCGACAAGTGATATTTCAAGATAACAGTTATTTAAGCAATTGACATTTCGCCCCCCTCCCGCAATTACTGTTTTAACTTACATGAAGTAACATTAATGGTAACGTTTATACGTTTACAGACGCCGAATAAACCAAGGTTTACTGAACACGAGCCTAGCTTAATCAACTGTTAACACAAATAAAACAACAACTTCTAAAAAAAAGTTCACAAAATCTTTTAACACGACAGTTCAACCGGAAAAAAAGAGAAAAAAAGAAAACAATGAAACGCACCTTGGCGGTAACCTCTGCAGTTGCAGTCGTGTCAACAGCTGTGTCGGCCATGGTTATTTAGTGAATTATAATATATTCCTGTTCAGAAAAAAAGGTTTTTTATTTATTTATTCTTAGCTCTTTGCCTCCGTGTGGATAGTCCAAAGACGCTGAGAGAGAAATGATGTCTGCCCGTCTCCGCTTTTCTCTCGAGCTCGTTGAAAATCTACTCTCGTTGGATACAGCGAGTCCATCCCGCACCTGATTGGTCGAGATCGACCGACGGAGCATTCTATTGGAGGAATTTCCTGTCAATCTTGACGAGACGTCCCGCCTTCTGGATATCTCATCGTTGATTGGTCAGTTGTTTTAAAGCGCTGCACTACGATACCACAGTTCTTTTCTTTTCTTTTTTTCTACTACCCATCAGTTAGCGATTGATCTTTTACCCAAATTTAAACAATGGATGTAAGTGCCTCGTTGTTAAAGTTATTATAATCTACCAGAATCTACTGACGGCTGAATATTCTCTTTAGTAGATCGATTGTAAAAGTTTATAAATACATGAACATGGACGGCATCTTTTGTCTTAGCGCTCTTTCTCTGCAGAGATGGGGTATCAAATTACATGCAAACATGAATAATGTGACGAAGTGAAAACCATGCGGCCACTCCCCCTGTCTATATTTAACACTTGTAACGACATGTGTTCCTGCTTAAGTGTGCTTACACTTTCACTATCTTGCAAACCTGACAAATTGAGTCAGTATCAGTGCAATTTGGACATTAAACGCACAAATCACAATTAGGCTAAGCCATTTATTATTCTATTACAAAACTATATCATCTAAAGACATTCTTCTATAGCCTGAGAGCTATACATCAATTATACAAAAAATATTTCAAATATTAAAACTGGACGAACAATGAATAATGATTGATATCCATGTATATGAATTCATAAATGTCAGTTAAACTTAGATTATTATAGTTCCTGCTTAGTATTAGAACAGTCATTGAAGAACAATCAGTAAGGGAACCTAATAGTCAGTTTCAGGCAATATTTGAAACAAAGCAAAGGAAAGAAAACATGTTTCACACACTGGCTGAGGATAGGCTAAACCATAAATATATTGCTTTGTGATTTGTGAGTCTATCAGAGACAGCAATGGGGTGTGAGGTGTGATATAGTTAACTACCGTAAGTGTGTGTGTGTGCCTACAGTAGCTACTGTATGGAAACCTTTACAGCATGCATTTACAACTATTGTCATTATACTATTAAAGGTGATAGTGAGTACACTTTTCAGAGCTGACGAGGGGCCTCTGCAAATACATCTGAGTCTAAGTCTAAATCACATAATAGAAGTGACCTTGCTAGCAGAGCAACACAAACACATGAAAAATCATAAAATCATAGTATTCACTATATGAATACTGAGTCTTGAAGTGATGTTTCAGACCTCACAGACGCTTCTGAAACAGTAATGTCCCTCATTTATATTTCAGGTCTGACAAAACATGATTTAAACATTCTTTACCTGCAGACATTTCCCCTTTTCCCGTTAATTAAGAACCCTTTGGTCTTGTTGATGACCCATACTGGCTTTTTACCTTCTTCAGGAGTTATTTGAGGTGAACTTTCTTTGCTCGTCACTGCGCTCATCCAACTGTCAAACCAAAGGAAGTGGCAACACACAACTTTGTGGGCCCTGAACACTAATTTAAGCCTGTTTATGGTCAGTGCCTCACTGTAAGTCAAATAAAGGAAAAACATTTTTTCATATCACAGGTGAAATCTACATATTTTGTGGAACGACACAATTGAATTCCTCAACTATGACAAAATCCTTTGACCATGAACAACATTATTTGCCACGCCTGTCATTGTTTTGGCCCACACGTAGCTATCATTTATTTTCATGAAACATTTACCTGTAGTTATCAGATAGTTGTCAAAGCAACAGTGTAATTTCCACTTAAAATATTTCTAGACAGCCCTACTAATGTTTGTATCCTGAAATTGCCCCAACAGGCAAGGAGGATATCTTGACTCAAGTATTTATTTTAGCCTTTAATTTTAGGGCCTCCTAGGACCTAATCCTATACCGCCTCAGTTATCTTCTCCATGCCATGCCAGCATACAAGCCACTGATTTTGCAGAAGCCTCCAGGCCCTATTTAGTCATTCACCTCACATTCAGCTGAAATATAATTATAAAGACTGTAATTAACATGCAGAGATCAAAGAGTTGTGTGTCAGTGTACTAGCTGGTTACTTTGAGATTTATTTTCTGTCTCACATAAGGGTTTATTTTTTCATTAAAGCTGAGTCTGTTGCTCTACCATCACATTAAACCTGCTAACAAGACAAGGGCTCATCCTAGCATTGCATTAAGTGTTATCCTTTTGTGTGGGAAATGAAGACCATGTGGAGACTAAAGAGCATTGAAGCAGACATCCACAATGTAATGGTCTCAGTGTGTGCAGAAACTTCAGTAGGTCCATGGGAGGAACAGAGGAGCAGACTGAAATACAGGCATTACTCACTCTTTTTCTGTAACTGGAAAATGGGAGCAATCAGGGAGAGGGGGAGTGTTTGTGAGATAATTTCCTGTCTTTTTTTCCCCCCTCATTTGCCTACCTCGACATGTTTCCATGTGCCACCAATCTGTTACAAAGAAAAAATCTGTCTATGGGCAGCCAGTTCATTCTGCAGGTAAAGAAGTGAACCTAACTGTTGCAGCCAGTAGGGCAGTCAAGGAAAAGTAGAAAAAGAGATGCAATTCATGTTGTGATTTTTATAAACTTCTTATTTGCCAACAACAGGAGTGTTTACCACACTTTCCACAAGTAGGAACTGGAAAAGTTTTTTAAGACTATTTAGAGTTATAGAACCGCAGAAAGCAATACTGTAAAAAAGAAAAGCCTCTTTGTGTTCACAATGACACATGTTTGACAGTAAACTAAATATGTTGCACCAGTTCCAATAGCCTGGGGGAAAGCTTTCTGTGAATGCTAAACTGTTCTCCGCTGTGCTAACAGGTCAGAGGATAAAGGATGTAGGATTGGAAGTGCAGCACCTTAATTTCTTCTTAATTTCTTGAAGACAAAGGACTGACCTGACTTGAGGAATGTCAGTGCTTGGGGCAGGGGTTAGAGCAAAGTGGGGCCCATCAAAGGGGAGAGGTCAGGATTAGGCAGGGGAAGGGTCCTGATAATTGGAGAAATTGGTGGGGGGCAAACTGAGCTCTTTTGTTTTGAACAGCAGTGTCCTGCATGGTCTGGCTGGCTTTCTCCAGTTTTCAGGCAAGTCCTGCAGAGTACAGGGACAACATAAATTTGACTTCTCACTGGGACTTTTCAGTCAAATGCACAGCGAGTGAGAAAGCATTCTTTGCATTATTGATCTACAATTAATACAATTGAGTATTGTCGTTATTGACAGTAATGAAGACATATAGACTAGCTGTACTGCCATAAGACCTTATACTATTAGCTTATACTGTAATGTACACTTTACTGTATACCTTTCAATTAAAAAAAACGCAAGGTAAGTAATATAAGAGTCATAATAACTTTTCTGTAGAGTAACATAGTTATGCAAAAATAATACCTTAGATCTATTTTTTTGTATGAAACAATAATGGATCTTTGTGTGTACTGTCTTTATGGCTATGTAAGAAGAAAAACGTTTCTTCTTTTTCTTTAAATAACTATATTTTACATTCTGATACAAATTGTGAACAATAAATCCATTCCTATAAATCAATAATAGAGAGAGCTAAGAAAGAAAAAAACAAAATAAAACAACAGCAACAGCACAATATGTTTATTGAAACACACATAATGTGAACCAAAGCTCCTCTGAGGCATGGTGCTAAGAGATCCTGAAATCCTGCATCTGGATATTGTTGGAGCTGTTGTGGTTGACATGTCTCTGTAGGTGCTTTGAGGATTTGGAAAATGCCAGAGCTTGTGTTTCCCAATGCTGCAAGTCTTTTGCTCTCTATACATTCTGGACTTAATGCTGTGTTAAAAATGGGTGTCGGATTTATTCAAGGTTGTGTGTTACCTCTTTCCAGGTTTTTGATACTAATGGACAGGATATGAAGGTACAGCCAAAATCTGGAGAATGTTGTTCTGTTGACATTGGGTTATCAACTCTCTTGTTTCTGGCTACATTTCTAATGTAGCAGCCAACTGTTACTGGTCTCCTAAATTGAGGCTGAACATTTACTCCATAAAAAGAAGTATTATCCCATCCAAGTGAGTGGAAAGCCACCACCCTATGTGGAGGAGTTCATATATTTCACAGTGTCATTATTTATGAATGTGGATAGAACATATTGTGACATGAGTGACGTTAAAATGTATTAGCTGATGTAACGTAACAGTTACTGGACTGTACTGGACTATGGTGCTGAAGAGAGAGCTACAGTATGTTTATTGGCTGATCATCTTTAGTTTGACCAGTGACTAAAATCAATGCGTATACAAGCCTGCCTGTGCCAACCTCCCTCTGAAGGAATAGAAGAAGAACCTAGAACAAACTGAATACAAGCCACAGGGACTACATCTCCCAGCGGACATAGCAGCGCTTGGTGGAGGTGTTGAAGAAAACTGCTGGGAAAAGACCACTTGGAATATTATGCTGTGTTGCCACAGTGACCATCCATCCATCCATTTATTCTTTATTTATTTAGTACTGAGTTCCTATCCAAAACATACAAACACACAAGAATTATTCAACAACTTATTGCTGCCATGTTGTGGCATTTTCTTACATTGATGTAGTGTATAATAAGGGTGCATAATTGAACACAGTAATACATTAATAGAAACGCAGGTATCAGTGATCAGATGGATCTAAGTGAAAAAAAAACTAAATGTGGTATTAAAAAATACATAAAATTATACATGAAAAGGGACTGTAATTAATAAAATGTTATAATAACTAAGGAAACTGTAATATTATGTGGTCTCGCTATAAACTGTTTTTGACAGAGTAGCAAAAGTTTCCCTTCTGCACTACTTCAGTTCAACCTCAGCTGTACTACCTTATTTATTTCACCTCTTAGCTCCACCCCTGCAACTGCCTTGCCAGAGAAAAGTGGAAATTTCCAGTAATCCCTACTGCTTCGCAAGAAATGCTCCTCCTCCTTCTAGTTTCCCGCCTTTCACTCTACCTGCTCCTTCCTGCTGCAGACTGGCCTGAAGACCTCATGGCCCTCTGCTGCTGAACCTTGTAGTGCCCTGAAGATTTTACTTAGATAGATAGACAAACACAACATCTTTTTTATGTTTCTGGCCTCATCATTGTTTTACAAATCAAATGTATGTTGCCACAGATATATGATCTTTGTGTTTAAAGTCACACAACCCTTTCTTTCTTTCTTTCTTTCTTTCTTTCTGTGTACTATTTTGATAGTACATAGTATCTTGTTACTATCTATTAAGGGTAAAGCAATGTGTAACTATTACATTAGCTCTTGAATGATGAACAAGGGTTGGTTTGAGATCAGAGAACAGATGGTAGATTTGCATTTCTATTTCTCTGGCTGATCTGATATTCTGGCGTCTGGTTTGTTTCGGAGATGTCACATGTTCCAAAGGTTGCCGACAACTGACACATGTAAGAATCAAGAATCGAGAAATGTGACAAGAGCTTTAGAGATTATACAGAAGGTGTGGCTCAGATATGGAAAACAAGATGATATCTGTTAACGTGTTTACAGCCTGAGAGGTCCAGACTACCCCTACGCTACATCTGCGGTTTTATAACTTCCTCTTAATTCATGACCACAATATAACCATGTACACATGAACAGACCTGATGCTCGATAGAGAAACATTTTAGATAAACTACTAAAAAAGCTAGAGACAGCTGGAGTGGAGAAGTTTGAGTGTGTAGATGGCATGAGGCACACTGACCTTAGACCCATTGTGAAGCACCAACAAAGAACCATCTGCACAGCAACCAAAGCTGAGATGAGGGACTCGCACACAGGGGGACCGAAGGGGGGGAGGGACATAGGAACCTGGAGAGTATAAAAAAGAAAACTAATCACTGATAAAGAAACATTTAAACATGACTTGATCAGCTGGAGCTTGTCTGACAAATCATAGAAGTCAGTGCAACTGTCTGAGAGGTTTGTGCACAAAGAAAACAAGAAGCTGCACAACATATGAACCCACAGAGTATGGATCTCTCCACTGCTGGTAAAGTGGAAGAGAAGAGCTTCTAGCCTAATCGCTCAAGAGCACATTTCCTGTCTCCCGCATGATGAGATGAAGTCAACTGAAGCTGTTCAAGGGTACTTTTTTGTATTTAACCCAAACCTGGATCTCAAACACAGTGGGTAACTTATTCTCTCCAACAGGCTTTATCTGTGCACTACTGAGTTGTAATAATATCATGGTTTAGAAGGTTAGTATTGTGGTTGTGAATAGGTTTTTCTTGTGCAACCAAAATTGTGCCTTTTCACATAGAATATGATGAATTTCAAAATGGTGAAAACAAAGACAAAATGGTGTCAGGGACATCTGTAAAAATCACAAATGTTTTACAGGTAAGACATGAGAGTCAGGATTGCTTAGCAACAGCAGCAAAAAAAATTCTTGCAGCCTGTGTGGTAACAGAGAAACTGATCCTGCTGCCACCCAGCGGTGGACTGCTAGTACATGCTGGAAATGAACTGGCATGAAATTGATCAAAGGCTCACTTCCCTTAAAGCATGTATGTGCAGTAAGATGAAATAGCTTCAATTACCTGCAAGGTGTGAACCCCATAATTGAAGAAGGGGGGGGAAAAGTGATATCCTCTTTCCTTTCCTCAACACAGTTTGAAAATATGTTCAGCAATTTGATTGGCTGGAAAATGCACCAGCTCTCATGGCGGGCGGTTGCCTAGCAACACTCAAGGGAGGGTGGGAT